TTTTTTTTTTTTTTTTTTTTTTTTGGTATAGCATGCATCTACCTCAAAAGAACTCTTGTTTGAATGTCAAGGAATAGAGAAGTTACAACTACAGCAAAAAAACAGTGTAATAAAAACAGCTATATTTCATTAATGCTTCCTAGGAAACATAATTAACATATATTACAAGCATAATGTCAGAATTAAGGGTTAGAATCCACAATCAAAATATTAGATGAAGCCCATCCATTTGACATTTTATAAACAGGAAATGGATACCTTAACCTAAACATCACTAACGACAAGAACATTTCACTTTGAATCAGTCAACTTCTTAATCTCTTCAAGCATAATTTTGGATTCAGCAGCGAAATCAATTGGAGCAACAGCCCTGACTGTTATCCTTTGCCTCTTCTCGTTATTGTATTCATTCTGAGTAACACTAACCATGAAGAGATGAGGAATCCAAGTTGCTTCCTTTAACTTCTCTTGGTAATTCATTGTTCCTTCCTGAAATTTCAGCATCATGAATGCAATTAACACAAGTTTCTATATCTTTTCTACACATTCATATAAATCAACCGACTTCGTTGATACATTACCTCTGATTTCAATTTATCAAGCTCATCAGCAGGGCTCCCGATAATCTTCTCTGCTTCCTCGTTGAAGGCAGAAACCCAAGCATCACCACTTGAGTCAGACACTTTCAACACCATTATGTATCTGACAATTTTAAGGGGAAATAATTAGGAAAAATGTGAGCAAACAGATTTAACAAAAAGATTTTAGCTACATGAAACGTCTGTCACCTTAGGTTGCACCTATCATCATTCTTCTGGCACCCCTCGCACCAATACCCAGACCCAACAGCTTCAGTCACCTTCTTGTTGCAAGTTTTGCAAGCCCGGTACCACATTCCCTGATCATTCCTGATTAGGCTAACATAAACTCTGACGCTGAAAAATGAAGGCTGCAGATGAAGATGAAGCCATTGCATCAAATACTAAAATGTCAAACATTACCAAGAATATTCACACAAAAAATAAACTTAAGGCAATTTCTTCAATTAAGGGTGGAAATTGCAGTACCTTGTCCTCACCCAAAGATGGGTTACCAGTTATATGAGAGAGGGCAACTCGATCAGAGTACATTGACCTTGCACCAGTCTTGAATGAAGGGCTCAAACCAGCGCTAATTGAGGCCATGGTGGTCCCTTTCCCTTCAGATTCATACCTGCACATAAATTTGTTTGCATCTGAGATTCTGAAGCCACCACTTGTAAAAGAAAAACTCACAGTAATTGCTTGATTTTTTATCATTGCATACCAAGTTCTCAGTCTCTTTGCTTCAGGAATATCTGGATTAACCTGCATGGTACTTCGGCCTATTGTTGACAAAGATACACCTGCAATGG